GGAAGGAGAACAAAGTGCATGTTAAAGCCTTTAAAAAGTTTACGTTTTAAAATACAGTAATAACAATCTCAGCTTTAAACTGCTGAGATGTAAATTTTGGCTCCATAGAGTGCCGATCCCCTTCATGGATCACTGTCTTGCCATGGCAAAAGGGCTTGCATAGCACAAGGAAGCTATGAGCTATGCCATGCAGGGGCACCCAAGACAGACAGGTCATAGCAGAGAGCTCTGATAAAAGCTGATCCACTGGAGAAGGAAATGGCAACCCACTCCAGTATCTTTGCCATGAAAATCCCATGGACAGAATCATAAGAATCAAAGATATGACATCAGAAGATGAGCCCCTCAGGTTGGAAGGTGCCCAGTGTGCTACTGAGGAAGAGCAGAGGGCTAGTACTAGCCACACCAGAGAGAATGAAGCAACAGGGTCAAAGCAGAAAGGACACTCAGTTGTGGATGTATCTGGTGGTGAAAGGAAAGTCCAATGTTGTAAAGAACAATACTGCATAGGAACCTGGAACGCAAGATCTATGAATCAAGGAAAGCTGGATGTAGTCAAACATGAGATGACAGGACTGAACATCAACATCTTGGGGATCAGTGAACTAAAATGGACAGGAATGGGTGAATTTAATTCAGATGACCATCAGGTATACTACTGTGGGCAAGAATCCCTCAGAAGAAATGGCGTAGCCATCTTAATCAATAAACGAGTAGGAAAAGCAGTCCTGGGATACAATCTCCAAAATGACAGAACAATCTCAGTTCAAATCCACGGCAAACCATTCAACATCACAATAGTCCAAGTCTGTGCCCCAACCACCAATGCCAAAGAGGCTGAATTTGACCAGCTTTTGAATTGTGGTGTTGGAGTAGACTTCTGAGAGTCCCTTGGACTGCAAAGAGATCAGATCAGTCAGTCCTAATCAACCCTGACTGCTCTTTAGGAGGTCAAGTACTAAAGCTGAAGCTCAAGAACTTTGGCCACTTAATGAAAAGGAAGGACTCAGTGGAAAAGACCCTGATGCTGAGAACGATTGAAGGCACAAGGAGAAGGGGATGGCACAGGTTGAGGTGGCTGGATGGGGTCACTGGAGAGGTGGGTGTGGGGTTGGGTGTACTCGGGGGGGGATGGTGGAGGACAGGAGAACCTGGAGGTATGTTGTCCATGGGGTCGCAAAGAGTCCAGCACAACTTTGCGACTGAACAACAACCAGAGTGCTGATGTGCAAAGGGGGAAAAGAGTTAACTATTGCATTCTCATGTCACAAACTCATGTTACAAAGTAAATGCGTTTCCTGCAAGATAAGTGCAATAGCTACTTTTTCGTGGGTGGCAGCTGAGTTCTGCGCCTTGAAGTTCTGCACGACAGATGCGTGCCGGCAAGAAGATACAGCGATGCAAACGCTGGACCCCTCTGCGTGCCAGGCAACTGAGCCGGCTGAAGGCTCTGCGACCAGTAAAAAGCCTCCTGGTACGCCGGGCTCCCTTATGGGCCGCTCCTGTCCCTTCGCTGCCGCCCCTCCCGCCTGAAAGAGTCCGCCCAGCGGGGCCAGGGCGTCAGGGGAAGCTCCGAAACTCACGCAAAAGCAGGACGACGAGAACGGCCACGGCCACGGGGACCAGGAGCTGCAGCCGCGCCGCGTCCTGGGCTGGCAGCAGAGCGTCCTGGGGAAGGGGCGATCCTTCGCGCGCCGCTGCCACTTCAACGGTATTCATCTCCACGCGCTCGCCTGCCTGGGCAACCGGCTCCGCGAGACGTGACGACGTGTCCTTCCCGGGACCCATCACCTTCCGCTCTCCGTGAGCACGCACTGCCTGCCGGGACGCTCCGGCCGTGTAGTCAGTGAGGAGGGCTCATGGGAGTTGTAGGCTGAAAATCCGGAGGGCTTCCGGTTGTCCACGACTGCTGTAGGAGGAAAGAACGAGTCTTTGCTTTTTCGGGAGGGGGCAGTTCACATTTGAGGGCAAGGGTGTCAGCGTTGTAGCAAAACTTAAAAAGAGTTGTGCGGCACCTTAGCCAAAACTATTGCAGCAAAAGCTTTGGCGGTCCAGAGCCCATTGTATCCAGTACAAGAAGTGTGCTTCTTACTTAGGAGATGCTTGTAAACAAGGCTTGCCCAACCTGTTGCTCTCCAAGGTGCTGCGATGTGTAGTCTAACCCAGCTGGAAGGCAACAGGTGGAGGATGGCTGAGGGCCCACATGCCATGAAATCAGAAAATTTTAATGACCATCTGCTATTGATAGCCTGACTTCCAAACCAGCTAAATGGAACAACTATCAGGTGAATCCACAGTTGTCTGCAGAATCGAACTCAAAACGTGCTCATCAATGGTACCTTCTCAAATCTGGGAGAGCTAACAAGTCTGGTACTGCAGGGTTCAGTGCTTTTCAACATTTTTATGTATGATTTGAATAAAGAAGAAGGGGACAATGATCAAATTTGCAAATGATCCAAACATTGGGGTAGCTAATACCCTGGAAGACAGAAATAAGATTCAAGGTGATCTTGATAGGTTGGAGTGCTGGGCTGAAAAGAACAGAATGAAATTCAATAGGGACACATACCAAGTTCTGCAGCTAAGAAAAATAAACCAAATACACTGTTACAAGATAGGGAATACCTGACTCAGCAACTTTGCTAAGTGAGAAGAATCTTGGAACTGCTGTTCCTGCAAATGTCAACAATACAATGTGGCTGCAAAATGGGCAAATACTATATCAGGCCTCATTAACAGAAATATCACTGTACTGTTACAAAGAGGAAGGACAGAATCTCGTCTTGATCATCTGAGAGTGCAAGACATGGGATAATGGGCTCAAGTTACAGAAAGCCTGATTCTGGCTAGATATCAGGAAAAACTTCCTGTCTGTTAGAGCAGCACAACAATTACCTATGGAGGTTGTGGCTTTTCCCACACTAGAGGCATTCAAGATGCAAGTGGACAGCCATCTGAAAGGGATGGTTTAACTTGGAGTCCTGCAATGAGCGGGGAGTTGGACCCCCTGGCCCCCTGGTCCCTTTCAGCTCTATTTTTCTGTGATTCTATGAAACTGTGCATTGTTCAGTCAGAACCAAACAGGATTCTGCAATGTGAAATGGCGATTTGTCTAATCCAAAGACAACAGTGCATTTAATCAGGAGCAACCAAAATGTCACAAAACAAAGAGAAGGTTTTTGGATTCTCAAGAACTCTTCATCAGGCTGGATGTCACTCAAAGGTCATAGGAAGGATAAGAAAATAACATAAGAAATGTATTGGCTGACTTTCAAAAGGCCACAGTATTTTCCCAAAGAAGCATACAGTATAGAATGAATTCATTTAAAAACATATTACATTACTAAATAACAAAACAACAACAGTAAGTGGGACACCAGTAAAACCAGACCATTTCCCCCAGTTCCATTCTATTGCATAAAACAGGTTCACATGTAGAATTCTGAATCAAATGACCCCAGTTTTTAAAAAACAAAGTCGAGCAGTTCATCAGATCTATTTCTAAGCTAAATATACAGGTTTCTTGTTAGGTAAAGGCAAGTATGGCTACTTTTATGCTAGCAAAGCCAGAGATCAATTTTGGCAGGGGCTTAGAATGAAAGTTGACTAAAGCCAATTTGTGTAGCATTACTAGTAACTGGAGAGCATGTGACCATCATAAAGCACGATCTCTCTTCAAATGGTAGAAAATAATCTTTCCTTTTTTGGTAGATTCTGCTTCTGAGTGGCTAAATTTTATGTGCCTTGGAGAATATCAAATCCAACTGTTCAGTGTGAAATCTACAGCAAGCAGATGTTCAGAGGAAAACTGCCGGGTGTTGTGCTTACAGAGTGGATGTCAGACATTGCTTCTTTGTCCCAGAACCCAACATGAGTGCAACATGAGGCTACATTCAATCCATCTTGGGACTTCAGCAGTTTTGCTATTTGCAGGCTCCAGCCAGTACTGATCAAAAGGCTTCGTGGAGCTACTCTGTCTTCTTCTCCCAACAGATTTTGAATGGAAAGATGAACGATATATGAAATGGGAAGGAAGTGAGTTTCAAGTTGCGGATGACATTATTTGGACCATACCACACTCCAAGAGAATTATCTGAAAGGGGCAGACGAATGGCATGAAAACAACTTAATTTGAATGGGTGTTTAGGTCTAGTTTTGATACTGAGATTGCCTTGGCTGCTCTGTATGATTATGTGTGTCAGGAAAGTCATAGGGGGAGCGTGTCCCTGTTGGTACTCCTTGATCTCTTAATAACACAGAATACCATTGACCATGGTATCCTAGACCTAGAGGAACTGTTCGAGATGGGGTTGCTGCTTTTCTGATCCTACTTGAATGTTGGTTTCCAGGGGTTACTGCGTGGGAGTACTGATAAGCTTTATGGCTCCTCTAATATGGAGTTGATTTTATCCCCATATTTTTAACATTCATGCGAGATACTGTGGGGGCCATTCAGAGTTCGGGGGTGTGTTCTCATTGGTATGTGGATGATACATGACTCTACTTTTCCTTTTCATCTCAGACCGGTGTGACAGCAGGGCTGGCCATGCATGAAGCAGGGAGAGGTTGCCACATCAGGTAAGAGGTGCAGAGGGGCAGCACATTGCATCCCCCATCTTTTCCCAGCTGGGGGGGGCCACTGACCCATTGTTTCCTGCAGGTGTTTTACAGGTGCCTACTAGCTGCTCTCCTGCAATTTTGAAAGGTCATTGGGTATATGTTGTGGATCGGGTTTGGGAGTTGGAGGCACTGCTCTGTGGTGGTTCCACTCCTATCTCAATGGCTGATTCCAGAAGGTGGTGCTGGGCGACTATGGCTCTGCGCCATGGCAGTTATGCCATGGAGTTCCTCAAGGGTCCATTTTGTCCCCCTTGCTATTCAACATCTACATGAAACCGCTGGGAGAGGTCGTCAGGAGGTGTGGGCTGCGGAATCATCAGTACGCTGATGATACCCAGCTCTACCTCTTGTTTTCAACCAATCCAGGTGAGGCAGTGGCTGTACTGAACCGGTGCCTGGCCAAGGTAACGGGCTGGATGAGGACCAATAAACTGAAGCTCACTCCAGACAAAACGGAGGTCCTGTTGGTAGGTGGTTCGGGCTTCGGGGTGGGGGACCTGGACCTTGTGCTGAATGGGTTTGCACTCCTTCTTAGGGACAAGGTTCGCAGCTTGGAAGTGCTCCTCGACCCTGAGCTATCATTAGAAGCTCAGGTGACGGCGGTGGCAAAGAGCGCTTTCCTTCAGCTTCAGTTAATCCATCAGCTGCGTCCCTATCTGGAGAACGATTACCTGGCAACAGTGACACATGCTCTGGTAGCTTCCTGATTAGACTTCTGTAACGCGCTCTACGTGGGGCTACCCTTGAAGACGGTCCGGATACTTCAATTGGTGCAAAGCAGAGCTGCCAGGTTGCGGATGGGGACTGGGCGTTGTTCTCATATAACCCCAGTTCTCCGTCAGCTTCACTGGCTCCCCATTGAAGTCTGGGCCCAATTCAAGGTGTTGGTTTTCACCTATAAAACCCTCAATGGCTTGGGACCTGGTTATTTAAAGGAGCGCTTGCATCCATATATGCCCTCCCGCCCCTTGAGATCGGCTGCAGAGGCCCTTCTCCGGGAACCCTCCATGAAAGATATTCAGAGAGTGAGTACCCAGAGGAGGACCTTCTCTACGGTGGCACCCCACCTCTGGAATGTGCTCCCCAGAGAGGTCTGCCTGGCACCGTCGTTATTTGTTTTTCGGTGCCAGGCCAAGACCTTTTTATTTAAAAGTTATTTTAATTGCTAATTTATGAATTGTATTTATGGGGTTTTTATGTACATGCCAGTTTTTTAACTCTAATTGTATAAACTGTTTATTTATGTTTATTTATTATCGTTGTAAGCCGCCCCGAGGCTTTTTGCAAATGGGGCAGCATAAAAATGGTTTAAATAAAATAAAAATGAAAAATAAATAAATAAAATTTGAGGTTTGTGTAAAAACATCACAGATGAGACCTCTTGTGCCACACTTCTCAAGGAGAGAAAAGCTGATGGGGATGAAGATGCTCCCATCCTCGGCTGATCTACACGGATCGTCAGAAGATGAGAGATAGAGAAATGGCCCTTCAAGTGATCTCAGTATATCAGCTGGGAAGCAAGCCTGAAAAGGTGAGTGAGTCAATGTTATCTATAAGGTTCCCTACATGAGGATGATAATTACTGTATCTACTTTTGGTTTCATGGCTGAAACCCTACATGAAGAGCTTCCCCCTCACATGCACTATTTAACCTCTAGGTGGCACTGTGCTATGGTGGAATAGCACACGTACGCAATGACTTTTCCTTTGCTTTTAGAAATAATGCCCATTTTCCCAGCTCTAAAAACAAGGACATAGGACAATGACAACAGGGAAGTGGTCGTAAATACAGAAGCAAAACTGGAGGATCATAGGTTCATCGAGAGTATCTGTAAACAATCATGAATTCGTGATCACAAATGTATCATAACTGCCTTGTGTGAAGAAAGTCCATGTGTCTGTATGTGTTTGTGAGTGGTGTGTGTGAGAGAAGGGCTTGGCTGCGTAGCGTTGGACCCTGGCCATGCCCACTGTTGGCATGCAGCTTCTGGGAGGTTTCCTAGGTAGCAATCTGGCACTTGGGCCAATACATGTTCCCAGCATGTATTTCAGTGTTGGTGAACTGCACCTCATGGAATCAGAAATACCATTTTGAACCAAGCAATTCCATTTCCATAAAGTACTTACTAACTGGCAAAATTGTTGCTTCCCAAAAGTAATGAATTGATGCCCTGAGACATTTTGTAAATAATCAGATGGAATATAAACACATTTCTGGCAGTAATATATCTTGACTTGGGTAGATGAGTATGCTAAGGGTAATCAAGATGAATCTGTTGCCATGGATAATTTATGGATTAAGAAGGATTCCTTTATATATTCCTCAAACGGATTTTCAAATGTAATATTTTGGACGTGTATTTGGGCACAAGATCTCCCTGCTTCTCACTGATTCAGATGCAGGTGCATACATTAAAAGAGCAGGCACATCAGTGCATATTAATGACTGTTTCAGATCAAAATTCATCTGTCTAATAGCCACCTCCCCAAAAGAAGCAACTACTGAACATTGCTAAATTTAGAAGCATTGCCTATATTGCACCACCAACAATTAGCTGAATTGCATGTCCCCTTATTAAAGAGGGGTTGCCGTGTCGCGAAGACATGATGCAACCATTGCTGCTGCATAAGGCGCTGCCCAAGATCCATACAGGGGAAAGGTAGATGCCAGACTGGTGAGCCACTGATTAGGTATTTTGTGGGGGTGCCCAGAGCATTCGCAAACGTGCTCACTGGTCCACAACAGTTTGGCACCATTTACCAAGGTTGGGGAATCTCTGCCAGGCATGGCTTTCTCCGCCTTCTTGCCACTGCGGCTTCCATCTCTCACAGCTCCAGGCTCTTGGCAGCAGGTGCAAGAAGCGTCAGTGTCTCTGCAGGGCTGACAGCCTAGAGAGCTACTGTCACTCACAAAGGACAATAGCGGGACAAATACTCCAAACTGAATAGAGCAGCTCCCTTTGTTCCTGCGAGTCTCCCTGAGTTCTCAGCTGTTCCAACTTTATGTGACTCGACCTGCTGTGTCAGCTGGGGTTACGCACTGCTTGAGTCATGTATTTTAGTGCTTGCTGTATACTTGGAGCACAGTTGAAAAGGTGACAACATTGAAAACTCATGAATAGCTCTACACCTTAGCTTAAATAGCGCAGCCTCCCCAGCCTGGTGCCCCCGAGGGTTCTCATCAAAACATCTGAAGGGCCTCAGATGGGGAGAGTGGAGTATTTTGCAGGCTTCACGCTGCCCCTTCACAAGTGATCTCTGCCCCTGAGTGCACGCACACTGCTGTCCACTTTCACTAGTCTCACTTGCCCCACATGCATTTCAGTGGGAGTTTACTCCAGGGAGACTAACTTGGGCTGCTGCCCGTGAGCTGAAATGCAAACAGCAATGCAACTAGTGCTGTACAACCCAAGGGAGCTTTATAAGTATTCCTTGAACAAACATTCCCTCCCGCTGCCCACACACATGGCCATATTGTCTTGAAAGAAATGGGAACTTGAAAAGTAATTCACAGTGTGTGATTGAGGTCTGCTGTTCAGGAAGAGAAAAGTTGGGCTATGGTAAGCATGTCAAAGCCTTTGGGTTGCAGCAACTGTTTTCAGCCTCAGTAGAATGTGAAGCCGCTCCTCTTTAAAATGCTAACATATGAAGGTAAATACTAAAATAATCAGTCATCATAAAAACAGGAAGAACTCAATTGTTAACTTTTCTTTATTTTGCACTACTGACACCAAGGTCATAGGAGGAAAAGCTTGCATACTTTGTTGTGGTGTTTTGAAGAAAAGAGTAAGCTGGACAAATCCCCACGTTCAGACAAGAAAGAATGAAGGGTCCAAGTTCTTGTTTCATTGCAGGGAGAGCTGTTCCTGCAAGTTATCCTCACTGATGAAGTAGCCAGCCTTCAAGAGTTCTGTCATGGATGGATGGATGGATGGACGGAGGGAGGGAGGGAGGGAGGGAGGGAGGGAGGGAGGGAGAGAGAGAGAGAGGAACACTGAGGATCAGTAGACCAAAATAAACCACCTCCACCAATGCTTTGCAAAATGTGAAAATGCCTTGCAAACAATTTTGCTGCATGGAAATGTGCACAGGAGACTTTGGAATACTGGCTACCCAAGGCTCAGCCAAAATCACTTCTACAGTTGAATATGTGAACCGAGGGCATGAACATTCTTTTGTGATCAGATGATGTTTCATTTCAATGGTGCTCTGCAAAATATTGCAGAATATGGTTAAATGTTTTTATTCTGGCATTGAAAGGACTTCCACATTTCCTTTGTCTGCTATGCCAGACCAATAAAAACAATTCTGCTGCCATTCTGCAGCAATCAAGATTAAAAGGGCTGGTGGCGTCCATGGACTTCCTTAGGCAAAACAAATCCCAATCATTAAAAAAAGTCACTTTCCCATCTGTCTTTTTCTTCTTTGGAAAATACAACAGGAGATCATGACCAAAAGGAAAAGCAGTCATCAGCCATCTCCCTACTTGAAAGACACATTGTATTTTGGCTCAGCAAGGCTGACACCGCATTTCAATTTCTTGTACTGGTTCTCTATGGCACCCTTCCCAAATGGTGCCCCAGAGGTATTGGAATATGACGCCCATCTTGAGCAACTTACATGGCCATAACGGCTGAAGATGATGCGAGCTGGAGGACACCAGGCTGGGGTACACTGTGGAACTATCCTCAAGTATTGCTCTTTGACAGACTGTTTCTCATGTCAGGGCGGATCATTCTTTGCCCAGCTGGGACAATACCCCATTCCTACTCTGTCATCACTCTGCTCATCCTCCACTTCCTTCTGTATTTGTAAAATATCTTATGGATGATTCTCTCAATCCAGATTATTTTATCATGGCCCTTTTTATAAAGTGCCAAAGGCACTTCTGTGGCATTAATGAAAGTTCCAGCTGTGACAGGATTGCCTTGCTGCTCATTGCTTGCTTTGAGAAATGGTTCTAGAATGTGGTGGAGCACACTTAGTTGAGATTTACAAGATGACTTGCCAAGTCAACATGAAATTTAAAAATAATACCTAACAAATGCCTTAGTGCCCCTCATGGGTATTGGTTCTTGGGACTTACCTTGTGCCCTTCACTTACAATGCCCTTTAAACAAAGATGTAGAAAGACAAAAGTGGAAGTAGAAGAATGAAATGGTGTGCTTTACATTTTATGAGAACATGGCTAAACTCCATTTAATGTCTATGAAGCAGACCCTTGTCACTATCTCAGTGTATGATTGGTACCTGAAGGGGAGCAACTCTTGAGTCCAGCAATAGATTCCAGGTAATCCTGTCCAAGAAAACCTTCATACGTCGTTTCTTTTGGAACAACCAAGCACAGGGTGCCATCTTTGAATAAATCATCTTTGAATTGGGACTGGAACATCTGGAATTCATCTTTTCGTGATCCATTGTTTCCAAAGAGCTTCTGCAATAAATGAACAGAAGTAGAATTCAATTAGCTATAACTATTTACCTACTTCTTTGTGACATGATCCCAGTGACGACATCCCATTCAATTTCTATGTGAATGGCTTCACTGCTGTACTCTTTTCACTGACCATTCTTGATAACTGAACTACCTTTCACTCTTCCCTTGCTTGTTTTTGTGTTGTTGTTTTTGCCAGGAATGTGATTGCTCTGAGGTTTGCTTAGGTATTTGTTCTTGAGCTGGTATAATTTGTTACTTTTATATTATTCAAAATATTTTGTGCTGCTTTTCCATTAAATACATCAAAATTAGTTTATTTTGCTATGATCTGTGATATGCTTAGTCTAAACCTTACCTGTTGCTGACACAACGCACTCTGGACCTGTTTTTGTTTCTCAAGACGTGTTACTACTGCATGAGTGGGAACTGTGGCCAAACCACACTCTCTGAATTGAGTAACTGGACAACGCGTACCATCGGGTTTCAACAGCACAAAATCATCAGGAGTTTTGTTGCCTGCCCAAGCAGGTTTGCTCTCCCCTGCAAAAAAGAATGTATAAGATTGCAAGGCTTTCAAGAAGAAGAAGAAATCACTTTATCCCTTTCCAGGTGTTTTCCAGATAAGCACTGATGTGCAGACCACGCCTGTGAACCCATTCCTGATATTGCGGTATCCATGGGCCATGAGAGCTGCCCCTACTTCTGTCTACATACCACAGGGGACCATGATTGTGGGGATAAGATGGAGGAGGAGAAGGATGTAAGCTGCCTTGAGCCCTTTGTAGGAAAAAGGCAGGATATAAACCGAAAAATAAATAAAATAAAAATAAATAAAAATGATTATCCATGATTCTAGCTCATACCGGGGTGATATCTGCATACCGCTCCATGGTGAACAGAAACTGACATTGTCACAGACAGTGGAGAGCTGGCGCGGAATGATTACTATCATTTTGTAGTTTTGGTCTCCTGCCCTTTCCTTTTCAGCTTGGAGAAGCCTCTTGACATGACACCCAAATATTAGCTATCTACTGGCATGATGGGCCCGTTGAATTGCTCTGTATCTGTCATTTGTGTTTTGTTCTCTGCTTTCTAACTCTGCATGCTTTTAACTGACAATTCCTTTACATCATCATTCACTGTAACAGAGTGACTTGACTGCTGTTTCCTTGGTGGAAAGGCAAGGCATAAATTGAATAGATAGATAAGCAGATGAATGGAATACCAACACCAAAACTGACAGTCTGATATTTCTCAAGTGCTGTAAACCAGGCAAGGACAACAGTTCAAGGGATCTGAGACTTAATTTTGATGGTGCCTAAATGGCTGGGTATGTTAACACTATGTTAAGAGGAGGAGGAGAATGATGGGAACTGCACAGAGTTTGTAAGAAAAAAAGCAGGATATGGACCTAGTAAATAAAATAAAACAAACACCAACAATAATACTGGATTTTATTGTCTATTCAAAATTGTGTAATAAATTACCAAGATGGCTTTCACCTATGGAAGCTTTGGTATATCCAAATGCACTGAACTTTGAAGGGATCATACGATATGATAACATTTTGGATAAGGATGGAGGATTGAAATTGAGTCAAGAAACACAAGAGCAAGGATCTAATATCTCTTGGTGGCAGAAAGTGCAGATACAATCGAGATATGCTAAAGACTATAAAACGTGGGGTTTTTATAAGGACTTAACAGCATTTGACCAGGTGATGTTTAAATCAGATGAGAAAATGATTAAAAGACTATATAATATTTTACTCGATAGGAGAATGGAAGATGAACAGGTTAAGGAAACTATGATAACATGGGCACAAAACTTTGGATATAATATTGAATTAGAAAAATGGCAAAAGCTATGGGAGAGAAATATTAAGGTAACATTAGCTTCTTTGTATAAAGAGAGCCTGTATAAAATGTTTTATAGATGGTATCTGTCACCAAATAGATTAGCTAAGATGTTTCCAAATATGTCAAATGGATGTTGGAAATGTAAACATAAATTGGGTACTTTCTATCATATGTGGTGGACTTGTGATAATGCGAAAAAGTATTGGATTGAAATACATAAATGGCGTGAAGAAATGTTACAAAAATCTTTAGCTTTTAAACCTGAAATTTTCTTATTAGGCATTATACCTGCTGATATTAGTAAACAAGAAATGTACTTGATTATACATGTAAACACTGCGGCAAGAATTGCATTTGCTCAACACTGGAAAAGTGAAGAATCACCCACCGACGAACTGATCCTAAAAAAGATCTTGGACTGTGTGGAAATGGATAGACTGACTTTGTCACTGAAGGAGAAAGAAGATACTGACTTCTGTCAAACTTAGAACTCCTTTTATTATTGGTTAGAGAAACGGGACTTCATATAGATTATGTTTCTATCTTATCATGAATGGGAAAAAAAATGTGGGGGCTGACCCAGCAGCCTCGATGTTTCTGATAATTGATGTTGTTTTTAGTTTTTCTTTGTTTTTAGGACTAAAATTTTGAATAAAACGTATTATAAAAAATAATACTGGATGTTAATGTCTATTCAGAGCCCTGACAGCAAACTGAGGCATGCAGATGCATGTTCCCATGCACCACTGTTACTCGGCCTATAACTAAGACTAAACATAAGCAGCTGGAATGCTCTCATCACATTTCCCTCTGCAGCCTTTCCTTCCCTTTCAGTCTTCTGTTGTTTCCACAGGGTCTCATTTCAGAAGGTAATCTCCTTAGGACAGGGCCCTGTCCTCTGTACTCTTTAAATGCCATGCTCACTGTTGCCACTCTATTCATTAAAGACATAAATAACATACCGGCTGTGTTGTCATTGACTGTGGAGTCTTTAACAAAGGCTACATCTCCTACTTCAATCAAACACCTGGAAAATATATCAAAAAGGTTAGGCAGCACTTGTTAGTTTCTGCTGTCTCTGGGACAGTGAATTCTTATTTTCCTTCATGTATTTCATTAATGCTGGAATGGGTTCAAAAGGGTGGAAGAGAGAAGAAAAATAGATTTATTCTTTTTACATGTAAGAGACCGTCTCGGACCTGGTGTTGAGGACCCCCAGGATGTTGGTCCTGGGGGACTTCAATCTCCATGCCGAGTCTGGACTGACCGGGGCGGCTCAGGACTTCATGGCCTCTATGACGGCCATGGGCTTGTCTCAACACGTCATTGGCCCGACCCATGAACGTGGACACACTCTGGACCTGGTATTCACGACGGGGCAGGAAGAGGATGACCTGAGGGTGAAGAACTTATGTTTGACTCCCCTGTCATGGTCAGATCACCTCCTGGTGAGGTTTGTGCTCGAGAGCGGCCTCTCCCTCTATAAGAGTGCGGACCCGATTGTATGGGCCCGCCCCCGGAGCCGGATGGATCCGGATGGATTCCTGAAGGCCCTGGGGGAGTTTCCAGCTGACAAGACTGATGCTTCTGTCGAGGCTCTGGTCGAACTGTGGAACGGAGAGATGACCAGGGCTGTGGACACGATCGCTCCTAAGCGTCCTCTCCCACCGGGCAGA